AATAAAATTAAAATTTTAATAAAAAATGCTCAGAACCCCATTTTCTTAGCAAACTTCCCATATGTTAAATAAAATTTAGTTAAAAATTGTTAACTGATATATCAAAAATGCTAGTTTATAAATATAAACTTAAGAAATTATAAATTTTATATTTTTAGTTTTTCAAAATATTACTAATTATAAGTGCTAAGTAAATATTATATCAACATTTAGGATAAATAGTATTTTCTTTACTAGTATAATAAAATTATTATTAAAAGCATTAATTCACTTTTATAATTCAATTTAAATAACAAGTTAAATTATTATGATAATTTTTTATGAAAACTAAACTTCTTTTAATAATCATCAAAATTATAATATTATTATCAATTCTATATCAAATTAATCAATATCAAAGGTTATTTGAGTTGAAAGAAGTTATAATATTTATTCTAAAGTTTCTTAATTAAAATATTTTAAAATTATAGATTTCAGAATTATAATATTCAGGAATATAAAATGTTAGAATATAGAATTTTAGATTATGATATCTTGAGATTTTAATAATTCAGAATTATAATTTTGTGTAGGTTATTAGATTGGAATCATAATATTTCAGTATTTAAACATTTTAGGCTTTAGACTATTAGAATAATGTATTATCAGAATTTTAATTATTAAAATTTTATACTAACCTGATAGTAGTGATACCTGACTAAACTCTTTTTTGAAAAATTGTAATTTTGTCAAAAGTTTTGTTTCTTTAATATTTTTATATGAATAAATATAAAATTATTATATTTTTTAATGTATTTTAATTCAAGGAATTTAGATCAAGTTAAATATAATTTTGGCAATTAAGTAAAATAATTTCGTCATTAATAAAAAACTAGTTTTGTCATTTCAGTTTCGTCAATTTCATCATATTAAGAAAGGTAATTTTGTCAGGTATCACTACCTGATAGTAAAATTCAATTATTGTTTATTTAATTTACTAAATTATATTAATCTACTAACGTATTTAAGAAAATGCTATAATTTATTATGTAAAAATATTATTAAATAACACTTATAATTATACATATGTGTAAATTAGATTTAAGTGATGCTGAAATATTATGATAATATAATATAATACTATAATATTATTATAATATCATAAAGCCAAATTGCTATACTATAATTTCTAATTGAATTGAAATTGATAATAATGATTATTATTCGTATATAATATTAGAACTTCAAACAGGTCAGATTAAATTAGATAACCTATTAGGTTAACCTGAAAATCTCAGGCTAGGTTAATAAATATTAACTTAAATCAACCTATAGTCTTAAATATAAAAATAATAATTTATAAAATATTTATTAATTAAAATCAGTTAAGCAGACTTTTACAAAAATTTTAATAACTTTTCAAATCAATGAAAGTAATTATTTCAAAAAATTATAGAAATCACTCTAAAGGAACGATATAATAGTTTCTAAAAAACGATATAATCATTTTATAAAAAATGATAGAAATTATTCTAAAACCAAAATCTGTTTAAAAAAATTTATTTTTAGAAAAAAATCCTAAAATTTAAAAAAGCAGAATTTGAAATAAGTATGAAAAAATTTAAATAAAGTTTAAATAATATAATAAGATAATACTTGAAATGGTAGAGTTTAAAAAATTGGAATTTAATTTTAAAAAAATTTAAAAAAAAAAAATTTATCTTTTTTTTATGAAAATAATTTAAAACTAATTGATGATCAATAAACATGATCAACAATTATAGCATAATAAATTGATTTACATTTGATTGATATGGATTTACATATAAATAAATTTTATTTAATTAATAATTTATACATTTTTTGACATATGTAATAAAATTAATTAAATAAGAATTTTATTTAATGTAAATAAAAAAAATTATAAAATTATTAATAAAAAAAGTTTTTTTAATAAATAAAATATATATAAAATTAAGTTAATAAGTAATTCGTAACTTTTATATTTTAGATTTAATAATAGTTTTCAAAATTATTTCTTAAAAAATTTTTTACGATTAATAAAGATGAGGGACGAAACTCAAAAAAGGCAATTAATAAACAGCCGAAACTATATTAAAACATAGTGAGGGGTACGACGAAACCCCGAAACCTAAAATTAGCCGAAACTATATTAAAAACATAGTAAGAGATATGACGAAATTATTTTGAGGGAGTTTCGGCTGGCATCTTTAACGATTAATATTTTTAGCATTATTTTTGTACAATAGATATAAAATATATCTTTCTAGGATATTTTCTTTTGGTTTAAATTTTATAGATTTATATATATTTTTGAATAATATATATTAAAAAGTCTTTTTATATAATATGATAACTAAATTAAAATTATAAAAATAATAATAAATTGCTAAAGTAGTTAATATTATTAAATAAAGCTTTAAACAATTTAAGTTAAAGACTAAACAAATTGATTTAATCTGAATAATAATTCAAATAAGTTGATCTAATCTGATCTATATCCTGTATAAAAATGATAAGATAAAATAAATTATTTTTGATATATTATTATTCTTTTAGAATAATAATTGATTATTTCAAAAAAATGATGAAAAAATCATTCCTTTTAAAATGATAATAAAATTATTTTGAAAGAACAATAAAAATATCATATCAGATTTATAATAAATATTATCTATATAATTTTGAGATTATATATTTTCTATATTTTCTCTCATATATGCTATTTTAACATATAATAACTTAGGTTTAATAGGATTATAAACTTTTAAATTTAATTTATATTTTATTTATAATTAATTTTAATAGAATCCTGTAAATATATTTGTTAATTATATAAGTAATAATAAAAATAAAACTTTTATAAGGATTTATTTTTAAATTAGCAAAATTAAATCAAAGTTTTTTCCAAATATTTTAATCATATTATTAAAAAAATAAGTGAATTTAACATAAATCATAAATTAGATCTTTTTAAAAATTTTGAAAAGTATTTTTAAAATTTGTTATTAGTGTTAATATAGAAAATAAAAATAATATAATAATTCTTAATGAAAAACAATCAGTTATTTTAAAATATACTATTAAACTTGTTAGAATTATTAGTTATATAGTGATAAAAATAGTTGCAAATAATTTTGGATATAAAATGAAAAACATATTTGATGTTTATCCTAAAATAAATCATGAATAAAAGACCTATTCTGATTCAGGAAAATTAATTGGTCATAGTGTTCATGCAAATTTTTTGTAAATCTATCTTCAACTAATTCATATAGATACAAAGAAAAAAATCTTGATTTAGAAATACAAAGGAATATTTGACTAATATAATATGATAATAGTTTTAGAAAATTACTATATGAAAATGCTAAAGAATATTTATTATAGTCAAACAACATTAACTGATTTATAATAGAATTTGTTTATGATATTGGTTTAATTAACATAGAATATTTCATTTATAGAATATAATGTATGATATCAAATTCAATATGGTATTGGTAACATAAGCTATACATAGTACAGTTAAATTTGACTTAAGCAAAGGTAGTATTTGATATATTAGCATCATTACTTTAACTGAAAAAACTACAAGAGCAAAAGTAAAAGAAGCAGGAATTATAAAAAATAAAATTTCATTTTTATATTATTATCCATGGATTATATTAATTTTTAAAATTTTAAAAGTCATTTTTGGTATTTGCAACTATTTTTCAAATTTATAATATTACAGAAATTAAAATATAGTTATTTTAATAATTTTTTTATTTAATACAATAAACTTTTATTGAAAAATTATTTAGTTATATAAAAAACAAAAATAATAATATGGATATGGTATGGATACATGGATCCAAACTCTAATTACGGAATAGTAATGAGGAAATATATTACACCGCCATAATGCTGAATTGCCAATATAAACGTGGTAATTGCGCCCCCATAACCTACGAAAATAAATGTAAGATATTACCAAAAAATAATCCTTTCAAAATTCAACCAGAATTAAGCTATGTACAGTATCTATTAATTTGAAGATCGATTTATTTTTGACGATCATTTAATAATGTTACTACCTATGTAAAAGAGAACATTTTGAATATTTGCTCAAATGTATATCAAACAGAACTGTAAGTTCATGACGATTTAAAAAAGAATGGACAAATTGATATCCTTAAACGTTCTTCGATGTCAATGTAGCTCTCTTTTAACGATTCACTTTCCATTTTTCTATAAAGCAACAATTGATGTGATTTGCCAAATATGATGATAAAACAACTGACAAGCTTAAATAATTAAATCACGTGATCCAGAAAATACAGGGCGATTACGATAATTGAGATTAGTTCTTATTAATCTTACCTGTTACTGCGTCATATCACTTGCAGACTTATAAATCATTTGCTTACCGTATGAGTATTGGTAAAAGTATTTACTTTTAAATAAATTTAAAAGTTTATATATTTGGATGTGCAAGGTGATATTTAAAAAATATAAATTTATTTGCTTGATATTTTTTGAAACGTATAATAAATTAAATTCAATCAATATAGTTTCGTCCGAATTTACCTTACTTAAAACTTACGATGTACAATTTTTTTTTTTGATGTTAAATCATATTTGTCACCGTTTATTCGTCACCTGATCGGCATAATTTGTCAGACATGACGTGAATAAAACTATTTTAAGGTTGAAATTATTTAAATTGGACATATATGTCAGCTAGCAAAGTTGAAATTTTATTAGAATGAATAGCAATTACTTGTACCAAAGCAAATGAATCCAATATTTCTTAACCCACTGCATGTAACTATTAAATTGATCTTATGTACTATATATTTCACCGTCCTTATTACTTCTTTGTTTATTAAAATTTAATGGAATTTTCTATCGACTCGCCACGAAAGTTGCCTAATTAAAAAATATATCATAGATTAAATAAAAAAAATTAAAATCAGAATAACTTTATAAAATGAGTATGACTTACTTTTCATCTTTCATAATTTTAATTTTTTACATTTCCCGAAGCAGTCTTTGTGAATTTTTGGAACCGAGTCTTTAGTCGCAAACGCGATATGATCACGATCATTTTCTTCCAAAGGTTCATGACTATTATTATGGAATTTAAAGAACGTTAAATAGCTTGCAAGTGAAATCTTCTAAAAGAACATTTATATACCAAATATCGCAAACTCCATTTTTGCGGCGTTTTTGACAAAATTCCTTTGATATGAACGCGTTATATTGTTGAAAAGTTCTATAACTAGCCTATTAAATAAGGTATTTAATCATACGTTAATTAATAATTAAAGATTATGGATCACAACTCATTTACTTACCAAGAAGGTCGGATCAGGAATGGCATTTGCAAAGATTGAACGAAGTTCTTGAGATAAAAGCGCTTTTTGATATACATACGAGTTGTTTCGATTCATGCGCAATACTTTAAGATAAACAAAAAGCTAAAGATATATATGTTTAAGTAATAGTATGAGAATTACCAAGATACAGTTAATTCATACTTCTCCGAAATTATACGTACAATATGTTTACAAAATTTATGGTACGAGAAGTCTGGGCAAGTGCAGCTTGGCACATGTGAAATAATAACAGTATAAACCTGGTAAAAAAAATTTTTTTTTAATTTAAAAAAATAAATCTTTTAAAAAAAATATATTTAATATTTATCCTAAAAAATCATACCTTTCCTGTTGCTCCAAAGATAATGAATTCTTGATGCAATTCATTAATTATAGATCGACTAATCCAGAACATTTGTTGTGATTCAGCGCTATCCATGCGTTTTTGAATAAGCTGCAATTATAAAAAAAATAAAAAATTAAAACTGACATCAAATATATTTATTATTAAAATTACATACCTTTGGACTGCATTGCATAATACGAGCTTTCCGTCTCTCTAAATGAGAACTTTTAGTTTTGGACGCTTTCTTTGATCTTTTTTTCTTTCTTACAATAGCATCATTATTTTCAGTATCAACTTTTTTCTTTCTACTAAGATCTGTCTCTTCATCACTAGCAGCAGTTTTGTTGGATTCTATCTGTACTAAATCTTGATTATTATGCTCGTGATATTTTTGCAATACATTTTCATTCCTTCTTTGATCACTATCTTTTACGACTGCTTGTCGACAACGAACGCGTTCCGGACCAGTTGTTTCAATAGTTTCGGTTCCTACTGAAATATTTTTCGGAGTTATTCTACGTTTAGGACGAGAAACAGTTGGTACTTGTTGAGTAGTAAATTTTGACTGAGAACTAGGAGACTTCGCAGCGGTCTGTTCATTAATTTTAGAAAAGCGAAAAGTACTGGTTACAGCATAGGTATTGGGCCTATTGAAAAAAGCTGTTAAAAAAGCATTCATTTTGCTGTCACGAAAAGTCGATAGTATTTGTATTAACGTTAATGTTGTAAATGAAAAAGAAGCTAAAAGTTTATTTGGATTCTTGGTGACATTTTTATATCGCGATCTCTAAATTTCTGATTGGTTAATCCGATATTTATGTTACACAATGAGAATTTTCCTTTTTTTTATTTTTAAAACGCCTATACTACAAGAAAATTTAACAATATCGTTTGAATAGAACTTAAGAGTTGAAGAGGGCCTTGTAATTGAGAAATCCTAAATGAAATCATATCATAATTTCTTTAAAAACAATCATAAATCCATCGGTTACACTAATATTTTTATCAGTTATTTGATGACACAAAAAATTTTGACCTTAAAAGTAAACAATTCACGTGATTTACCATTTCATAATTCCTGTATTTTCCCAATCTCTTTCTGTTACATTATTGATACCTCATTATGGCTCACGATAAAATTCAAGAAAATTTACGAAGAATATCAATTCCTTCAGAGAAAAAGATCAGACCATAGAAATATAAATAGCGATATAACCAGTTTAAAGATAATATTCCATTGGTTATATTTTCGTGTAGAACATTTGCATTGTTAAATATTTTCCAAGTCTGCACATCGTTCAAATATTAGATATAGTAGATTATACATCAACACTCCACTCATTATTCTTCCGTTCTGTTCAGCGAGATCGATTTGTGACATCATCCGGTACTCTGAATTACGGTTTTAACATGTATGACACGAATTGCAATATGATTTTTGTTTATCGCCACCATTGAATACATCATCAACCAAAGAATTCCAAATTGACACTACCTTTTAACATGATGTATTTTATCGACAGTGTCTTTATATCATGCTTGTTGAACCAAATATTGTGGAAAGGGGATAAATAAATATTTAAATCATCTTCAAATAGCTCAACTAGCTTTTTACTATTATTCATTTTGCATTACTTAAAACCAAATAAATCTCTGGATGATCTCACACGTGATTTATTTTGAAATGTTCTTTTTGTAACAATAGTGATCTTTTTCGATGAAACCTTATTGCAACGTATGCAGAAATTAAAAAGATATGAGATTATGGAGAAATGCCATTTCCAAACAATAAAAGCTTATAAATTAGTTTCAAGGACTTTATATTTTCTTGCGTTTTTTTTTTAACCTTCAATCGCGATCTAAGCAAATAAGTCACATAAAATCACATCATCGAGAAATTTTTTTCCTGGCACAAATAATTTAATACGAATCCTTTCATGTATTCCATGTTTATTAGCATTCCAATAAGCTATTCCAGAAGATACATTATTCCTGATAATTTTTGGTATATTTGAATTATTGATATAAATAAGCAACATTATCATAAACTTGATTTTAATAGAAACCGCTATCAAGGAATATCATCAATTTTGCTCCACAATCACAATACGTTGTATTTACTTTGAATGTAGGAAATTTTTGAGCAATAAAAGATATAACAAACCTGAAAGATGATAATTAATTTATAATATTTAAAGGAATGTTTGTTTTTTTTTATTCTTTTTCGTCTTCACTTTTTCTTCGGGTATTCTAAGTTGCGAAATTCTTTATCCTGACAAGTATTTACAGTAAGTAAAGTTCGTTCCTTGAATTTTAATCTTCCAACCTATTAATTAGGCGCCTCTAACAGATATTTTTATCCTGAAAAACATTCGTCATAATTTATAAATCGGACATGAGTGAACGTACTTTTGGCAAGTCCTCTATTGCTAACATGCTAATTCAAGATGATATTCATCATGAAGGCAATGAAATGAGTTTGTTGAACGATAGAATCTAAAACAAATAATCAATTAAGAGTCTATGTTTCGGTTGGATTAAGTGAAAATTTTTCTCCCTATAAAAATTTTCGCCCAATGTTTCCATTATTTTTCCGTGGCTTACGTAAAATTTCCGTGAAAATGGCCTTTCACGGAATCCGTATAAATGATATGAAAATTAGGTTATATATTTCGTGAAAATAAGCCCTTCACGGAAAATCATGGAAAACAAAACACGGATCAATTTTTTTTGTAAGGTCTGTAAACGTTCCATATAAAGAAGCTGTGAAAAATTTTTTTTTTTAATGCGAATGTCTCGTGATGCAACATACCAGATGAATCATTTACCGTATCGTCGTCTATCCTGGCTGGGTTGTTTGAGTATGAAAAATCTATCTAGGTAAAACTCGGTATGAATTTAATGAAAAAAAAATTATCGCGAATAGCTTTTCCGAATTCTTACAAATGTTCTCGGATATTATCGTTGTCCCGTGACTTTTGAAGTTTTGTCGGTAAAATGAGCGGTCCCAAACAAAAAGGGTTCAATGATACGTGAGCCGAATAAGTTTTAACTAATACATGTTAAAGAAATTAAATTTTCATGTATTTATAATTCGTCCGGAAATAAGTTTTATTTTAAATAATTTCATATTTAGATTTACCATATATACACAAAAACCCCATATTTTACATAGCATAGATAACCATGTGTATTAGAATCTAAAACGTGTGTAGTATTAAATTACGTATCATTATTAAAAAATCTTTTCTCATCAACGGAAGTGATTTAATTATTGCTAATTTAATTGAATATATATAGCACTCATCCCGTCATCACATACAAACGTTAGAGTAAAAATATCTCATGCATTATGTATTCTCGGTTAAGTCCCGAAATTGGTATGACATAGAATAATTTTTTACGACGCCCAAATTTCAGTCACGCGAATTTACACACTAACGATTTATTTGCCTGTTCAATATCTGAGTGATTTTCACAAAAAAAAATTTAAATTTGTCATTAGCAAAATAAAGAATATAACAAATATCAGATAATCCTACTCCATTACTAATCCTAACTAGACAGTAAGGAAAGTAATTCCACCTAATCTGGATGAATATTATTTTTAAAAGAGTAGTTATGAAAATATGAAAGAATTAGTAATCTAAAAAGATTATTATTTAAAAATTTGTATGTATATATTTATAATAGGAATTTGACGCAATTGATAATCCTTTGCTATTATGAGAACGACATATGGTATTATTGCAGCGTTTCGTAGCGAACACTTGTAGCTGGAATCATAATAGTCGGCACAACTTAAAAGATTACGGGCGGATTTATTGCCGAGAGATTGACACTGCTTTTTCCTCTGCTCTGAAAAAGGTTACTATAAATTTTTAATGGAATAAACGTTTCATAGAAAGTAATTGTTTTCTATTTTATTATTTTTAAAAAATACAATAATATGTTAGAACTTTGATGTCACCTTCAAATAATATTTATGTTAAAAATTTTAAAAGTTATCATATTAATTATATTAATTGATAAAGTTTATATTTAATGATAATTTTTATATATTAAATTTATTATTAAATCAGCTTAATTTCGTAAATTAAGATTAGACAATTTAAAATTAGTATGTAGTTTCAAACTTACTATGTTTTACTACATTCCATAAATGAAATGAAATTAACAAAATCGGTGATTTATTGTTTGTCACAATCAATCCTAAGGACCTCTTCTGGATTACTTGAACTTATATCGTTTAGAATATCAGCAAACATAATTTGAAGCACACGTTTATGTTGAAGCACATATTATTGGCTCTTGCATGCACGAACCGCTCCAATTATTACGTCCTTAAGTGAAAGTTAAAATGATTGTGTAGTGAAAGATATTATCGTACGGCTAAAGCAGATCATGCTTAAAAGCTCAGAGATTTTTTGTCTACTTAATATCTTGTTAGATGGTTCGGCAGATCTATTAGTATAGTAATGATAAAACTTTCTCTTAAAATGTATACAATTATTTCGTGATATTGTTCTCAACAAATATAAAGGAGGCAATCCGCCTAAACTTTCAGCCAGCAGACTATCCCTCCGGTTATCAAATAAATTATACCAAACTTTTGGTACAATATTTTGTTGTAGGATGTGCAGCCACCTTTTATTTACAGTCAATTTCAACCCGAGTTACCTTTGTTATTTTTATTAATTTCTTCTGTTATTATAAGGTTATTATCAAATAAATTTAGCGCGAAATAATAATAGGCATTATTTCAAAATGAATTGTAAGTATCAATTTTCACTATAAAATGAATACTTTCATCAAGCAAATTTCAGTTTAAAAAATTCTTTCACGGCAGTATTATAATAAAAGGAACAATTGAAACTATTGATAATTATCCTATATTAAATGATGTTTGCCTTTTTATAGTTGACAATTCTCAACTTATAAAAACGCAATTTCTTATACTTTTTGAAAATTTTTTATTTAAATATTTATTTAGTTATAGTTAATTATTTTCTACTTCAGAAATAATTAATTACTATAAGTTAATTACTTTACGTAAAAGGTTGTAACTAAAGATGGGCACCATAATTAAGAAGTTGCAACTCGGTAAGTTGCAACTTAAGTTGCAACTTGGTTGCAACTCCTTATAAATTTATTTTAATATAAAAATTCGTAAAATATTGCAACTCAAAGTGTTGCAACTTAAGTTGCAACTAGTTAAAAATTTTAAAAATAATTATGGGAACCATCTTTAGTTGTAACGAATCAATACAAATGATAAATCTTTAAAATTACCATGAATTAGTATATTTTATTAAACAATGGAATTTTAGAAACGATAATATAAAATTAAGATAGAAAATAAATTATTTTATTATTTTTAATGTTATACAATAATTAACTATTGATTTTAATATTGAACACAAATAAGCCACTAATGTTCAATATTGTACGATGTATGCAAATTAAAGTCATTTATAAAAATATATAGGTCAAACAAACTCAGCATAAGATAATGAACATAATCAAAAATCAAAAATAGAATTATATATAAAACATTCTATTGGTAACAAATATTTCAACAATTATCGCACAATTCATTAAATGTACTTGCATATAAAATTAAGAATTTAACTATTTAAATAAATAAACATCTATATTTTATGATAAAGAATTGATTCAAATTATTAAATATCAAAATCTGTCGTTTTGGAAATATAATCTAAAAATTAAAATAATTGATTAATTTGTGGTTTAATAATAATAAAAAATTAATAATCATTATTCAGTTATTTTAGAATGGTACAGATTTAATTATATTATTTACCACTTGAAATGCTTGACCTTCCAGTTACTTCTGCAAAGCTTATTGCACTACCATTTAGTTTATTTTTAATAATAGGCCCAATGTCCGGCGATATTTTAATTTTAGTTGGAATTTTTTCTTCATTCAAGATGATTTTATCAATAAGTTTCCAAATATCAGAAATAGTTGGTCTTTTATTTGGATCAGAATCCCAACAGTCTTGCATTAATTTAATATAGCCTTCAGGTGCATTTGTAACAATAGGAGGGCGATTATGATCACAAATGTCAATAATAAGAGATGTATCATAATCTCGATCCCAAAAAGGACTTCGACCTACCATTAATTCCCACATTATCATACCAAAGCTATATATGTCTGAAGCTTTAGTATACTTTTTATATTTTTGTCCTTGAAAAATTTCTGGAGCAATGTAAGGAATAATTCCATAATACATATTTTCATTATCTAATGATTCAGTTGAAAATTTACTTATTCCTAAATCACTTATTATAACATCATACTCATTATCACAAAGAATATTTCTACTATGAAAATCTCGATGAATAATTTCTTGTTTATGAATAAAATTAAGTCCTTCCATAATTTGCTTCAAAATATTTAATTTTTTATCCCATTTAAGATTATAAAAGTTTTCTGTTATATATTGTTTTAAATCATATTTATAATGATTCATAATTATTACAAAATCTTCTGTATTAGGATTTATAGTCATGCCATAATATCTATTTAAATAAATAAAAGAAGTCATATATCCTTCATTTAAATCAATTTTATAAATTATTTTAAGCTATAATTATAAAATATTTATAGTTAATATAAAATTTATAAATATTAATTATAATATTATAATCAAATTAAATTTACCTCATTTAACTCATTAGAAGTAATTTTTTTAGAATTTTAAGTTGTTTTAAAACAACTATTAAATTAGGATCAATATATTCAAAATCCTCTATTTTTTCATTCCAATAAGGTGGACCTTTATTCCAAGTAGCTTTATATACTTTACTAAATCCACCTTCTCCAATAATTTCTATATTTTCAAATTGATTATAAGGAATAAACTTCATTCTACTAGATTCTTGAATAAAATTAATTTGCGCATATTTAATAAATTTATCAATAATTTCATTTCCACTTGGTTCATACAATAGCTTAGATTGATAACAAATTATACAATATTCATGATATTTTCTTAAACGTCGTCTTCTTTTAAAACAACTATTACATATATTATTAATATTATTTTCTGTTTCAATTATGAATCCTTTAATTAAGTTTAATTTAGTTATATAATTTTTATAATGATTATCAGATTTAATTGTTTTTATATTTTTATATACTTTTTGATACCAATATAAAGCCATTTCTAAATTTTTTTCAGTTCCTTCACCATTTTCATATAATATTGCAAGATTATATTGTGCATCTGCATTATTATTTTTAGCAGCTTTATAATACCAATAAAAGGCTTTTTTTAATTTTTTTTTTACTCCTTCACCATTTAAATATAAAAATGCAAGATTACATTATGCATTTATATTATTATTTTCAGCAGCTTTTTGATACCAATAAAAAGTCTTTTCTAAATTTTTTATAGTACCTTTACCATTTTGATATAAAAATGCAAGATTATATTGTGCAACTGCAAGATTATTTTCGGCAGCTTTATAATACAAATAAAAGGCTATTTTTAAATTTTCTATTGTATCTTTACTATTTTGATATAAACATGCAAGATTAAATTGTGCAATAGCATGATTATTTTCAGCAGCTTTTTGATACCAATAAAAGGCTTCATTTAAATTTATTTCTGTTCCTTCACCATTTTGAAATAAAAATGCAAGATCACATTGTGCATTTGTATCATTATTTTCAGCAGCTTTTTGATACCAATAAAATGCCTTTTCTAAATTTATTTCAATTCCTTCACCATTTTTATATGATAATGCTAAATTATACTGTGATTCTACTTGATTATTTTTGCAGCTTTTTGATACCAATAAAAGGTTTTTGCTAAATTTTTTACAGTACCTTCACCATTTCTATATGATAATGCAAGATTAAATTGTGCAATAGTATGATTATTTTTAGCAGCTTTATGATACCAATAAAATGCTTTTTCTAAATTCTTTATTGTACCTTCACCATTTTTATAAGATAATGCAAGATTATACTGTGAATCAATATGTTCATTTTCAGCAGCTTTTTGATACCAATAAAAGGTCTTTTTTAAATTTTTTACTGTACCTTCACCATTTCTATATAATAATGCAAGATTAAATTGTGCATTTGCAAGGTTATTTTCAGCAGCTTTTTGATACCAATAAAAGGCCTTTTCTAAATTATTTTCAATTCCTTTATTATTTTTATACAATAATGCAAGACTAAATTGTGCATTTGCATCATTATTATTAGCAGCATTTTGATACCAATAAAAAGATTTTTTTAAATTTTTTACTGTATCTTTACCATTTTGATATAAACATGCGAGATTATATTGTGCTATTATAAGATTATTTTTAGCAGCTTTTTGATACCAATAAAAGGCTTTACCTAAATTTATTTCTATTCCTTTACCATTTTGATATAAAAGTGCAAGATTACATTGTACATTTGCATCATTATTTTTAGCAGCTTTTTGATACCAATAAAAGGCTTTTTCTAAATTTATTTCAGTTCCTTCACCATTTTTATATGATAATGCAAGATTAAATTGTGCATCTACATAGTCATTTTCAGCAGCTTTTTGATACCAATATAAAGTTTTTTTTAAATTCTTTTCAATTCCTTTACCATTTTTATATAATATTGCAAGATTAAATTGTGCATTTGCATAATTATTTTCAGCAGCTTTTTGATACCAATAAAAGACTTTCTCTAAATTCTTTTCAATTATTTCACCATTTTCATATAATATTGCAAGATTATATTGTGCATCTATACTATTATTTTTAGCAGCTTTTGAATACCAATAAAATGATTTCTCTAAATTTTTTACAGTACCTTTACCATTTTGATATAAAAATGCAAGATTACATTATGCATTTGCATCATTATTTTCAGCAGCTTTTTGATACCAATAAAAGGCTTTTTCTAAATTTATTTCTGTATTATCACTATTTTGATATAAATATGCAAGATTGTGTTGTGCAATGGCAAGATTATTATCAGCTGCTTTTTGATACCAATAAAAGGCTTTATCTAAATTTATTTTTGTTCCTTCACCATTTTGATATAAAAATGCAAGATTACATTGTGCATTTGCATCATTATTTTCAGCAGCTTTTTGATACCAATAAAAGGCTTTTTCTAAATTTATTTCAGTTCCTTCACCATTTTTATATGATAATGCAAGATTATATTGTGATTCAATTTGATTATTTTCTGCAGCTTTTTGATACCAATAAAATGCTTTTTGTAAATTCTTTATTGTACCTTTACCATTTTTATATAATAATGCTAGATTATATTGTGATTCTATTTGATTATTTTCAGCTGCTTTTTGATACCAATAAAAAGTTTTTTCTAAATTTTTTACAGTACCTTCACCATTTCTATATGATAATGCAAGATTAAATTGAGTAATAGCAAGATTATTTTCAGCAGCTTTTTGATACCAATAAAAGGTCTTTTCTAAATTTATTTCAGTTCCTTCACCATTTTTATATAATAATCCAAGATTAAATTGTGCATCTACATAATTATTTTCAGCAGCTTTTTGATACCAATAAAAAGTTTTTTCTAAATTTTTTTCAATTCCTTTACCATTTTTATATAATAATGCAAGACTAAATTGTGCATAAGCATAATTATTTTCAGCAGCTTTTTGATACCAATAAAAAGCCTTTTCTAAATTCTTTTCAATTCCTTTGCTATTTTCATATAATATTGCTATATTATATTGTGCATTTACATTTTTATTTTTAGCAGCTTTTAAATACCAATAAAAGGATTTTTCTAATTTGTTTTTTATTCCTTCACTATTTTGATATAAAAATGCAAGATTATATTGTGCATTTGCATCATTATTTTCAGCAGCTTTTATATACCAATAAAAGGAATAATCTAATTTATTTTTTATTCCTTCACTATTTTGATACAAAAATGCAAGGTTACATTGTGCATTTGCATCATTATTTTTAGCAGCTTTTTGATACCAATAAAATGTCTTTTCTAAATTTTTTATAGTACCTTTACCATATTGATATAAAAATGCAAGATTACATTGTGCAATTGCAAGATTCTTTTCTGCAGCTTTTTGATACCAATAAAAGGCCATATTTAAATTCTTTTCAATATAATCACTATTTTGATATAAACATGCAAGATTATATTGTGCAATTACAAGATTATTGTCAGCTGCTTTTTGATACCAATAAAAGGCTTTTTCTAAATTTTTTTCAGTTCCTTCACCATTTTGATATAAAAATGCAAGATTACATTGTGCATTTGCATCATTATTTTTAGCTGCTTTTTGATACCAATAAAAGGCTTTTTCTAAATTTATTTCTGTTCCTTCACCATTTTTATATGATAACGCAAGATTATACTGTGATTCTATTTGTTCATTTTCAGCAGCTTTTTGATACCAATAAAATGCTTTTTCTAAATTCTTTATTGTACCACTACCATTTTTATATGATAATGCTAGATTATACTGTGATTCTACTTGATTATTTTCTGCTGCTTTTTGATACCAATAAAAGGTTTTTGCTAAATTCTTTACAGTACCTTTACCATTTTTATACGATAATGCAAGATTAAATTGTGCAATAGCAAGATTATTTTCAGCAGCTTTATGATACCAATAAAAGGTTTTTTCTAAATTTATTTCTGTTCCCTCACCATTTTTATATGATAATGCAAGATTAAATTGTGCATTGACATCATTATTTTCAGCAGATTTTTGATACCAATAATGAGACATTTCTAAATTTTTTACAATTCCTTTACCATATTGATATAAGAATGCAAGATTACATTGTGCTACAGCAAGATTATTTTTAGCAGCTTTTTGATACCAATAATAGGCCATTTTTAAATTTTTTACTGTATTTTCACTATCTTGATATAAACATGCAAGATTATGTTGTGCAATTGCAAGATTATTATCAGCAGCTTTTTGATACCAATAAAAGGCCTTTTCTAAATTAATTTCTGTTCCTTCACCATTTTTATATGATAATGCAAGATTAAATTGTGCATTTGCATAATTATTTTCAGCTGCTTTTTGATACCAGTAAAAAGCCTTTTCTAAATTCTTTTCAATTTCTTCACCATTTTCATATAATATTGCAAGATTATATTGTGCATATATATTATTATTTTTAGCAGCTTTTGAATACCAATAAAATGCTTTTTCTAAATTTTTTTCTATTTCTTTACTATTTTGATATAAAAATGCAAGATTAAATTGTGCATCTGCATTATTATTTTCTGCAGCTTTTTGATACCAATAAAAAGCCATTTTTATATTCTTTTCTATATCTTTACTATTTTGATATAAACATGCAAGATTATATTGAGCAATTGCATGATTATTTTCAGCAGCTTGTTGATACCAATAAAAGGCTTTTT